TAGCTGAGCCATCCTGCCACCTGTTGGCAGCTCAGTGGCAGCTCAGCTCAGGCCAGGCATCGAACCACTGTTGCTCAGAGCTCAAACTTTTGAGCGAGATCTCTTACCCAACGGAGCCACTCGGCCGGCCCTAACAGTGTATATTTGAGGGGAAGAGGGTGTGTGCTGCTGCCATCTATCCTCATATGTAGACGGTGGAGCAAAAGAGACCACTTTGCCTGTCCTACTTTCTAGACCTGCCAAGGGGCTGACTCTTGTTGATATATTATTTTATTTATGGCAACTGAAATTATCATTAAATTGTTTAAGGAGAATGAACTAAACTTTTGCTACAGAAATGTAAAATCACATTATTCCAATACTATGGCTGGCTAAATTATAGTTGAAGGATTGTGTTTTGTTTTTTCTATCTAACATTATTTTGTAGTATATTTTTCATGTATCTTCAGCCTTATGTTTATCAATTTAATGGTTCCATTATTGTCCCTGAAATGATATACCATAGATTATATAACCATTCCCTAATCATTAGCTGTTTGTGTTTCTGATTTTTCCTTCTACCTTCACAAATAATGTTGTTATAAACATCCCTGTACAAATAGCTTTCTATTTCCACCATTTCAATCGTTTCCTTGAGGCAAAGTTCCCCAAATTGAATTATTTAGTCCAAAGATATGCATTGTTGTTTTTTAATATCTTTTTATTACAGAAAATTTTAAACATATACAAAAGTGGAAAGAACACTGTCATGAACTTGATGTGCCTATCTGCCTGCTTCAACAATTATCAGCTCATGGCCATTCTTGTTTAGCTATAACCTACCCACTTTTTCCTACCTCATCCTTTAAACTGGATTATTTTGAAGCAAATTCCAGACATCTATCATTTCAGTTATAATCATTTTTTGAGCTAAACATTGATTGTCTTATTGTCCTCCAGAAATTCAAAAGAATTTTCAATCCTAAAATCCAACTATGACATGACACCAAAAGAATGAAACATAAAAGAGAAAAA